GCCCTTTCCGTACGGGGGTCCGGCGGATTGGAAACGCCGGACCACCGACACCCGTGCACGGTCGGGGGTCCGGCGTTCCCGAACCGCCCTGCCCCTTTCACCCTTTTCGTACGGGGGTCCGGCGGATTGGAAACGCCGGACCACCAACAACCATGCACGGTCGGGGGTCCAGCGTTCCCAAACCGCCCTGCCCCTTTCACCCTTTTCGTACGGGGGTCCGGCGTTCCCGAACCGCCCTACCCCCTCCGCCCTTTCTGTGCGGGGGTCCGGCGGATTGGAAACGCCGGACCTCCGACAACCGTGCTCGGTCGGGGGTCCGGCGTTCCCCAAACGCCCTACCTCCTCCACCCTTTTCGGATGGAGGTCTGGCGGATTGGAAACGCCGGACCTCCGACAGCCGTGCTCGGTCGGGGGTCCGGCGTTCCCGAAACCCCCTACCTCCTCCACCCTTTTCGGATGGAGGTCCGACAGATTGGAAACGCCGGACCTCCGACAGCCGTGCTCGGTCGGGGGTCGGGCATTCCCGAAACGCCCTGCCCCCGCCATCCTTCCTGGGTGGGAAGGGGGGGGCGTCGGAATGGAAACCCTCGACCCCCTGCCTCGAAAGGATGGCGACGGTCCGGCGGACTGGGAACGCCGGACCCCTCGACCATTCATGGTTGTCTGGTATGCACCGTTCCCGACACCCTCGCTAACCCCCCTTGCCGAAAAGATGGCGGGCGTATGGCGGGTCACGTGCCTTCTTGAATGTCTCGGACCACGTGCAAGTGTTTCTGTGTGGTGCTCATTGTTGTTCTCCTGCCCGTCTTTGTTTTGCATTTGCCACCGGCAGGTAAATCTGGTGCGCCGACCTCTGCTCAAAATAAACGGTACGGCTGGTCTAAGACTTACAACAACAAACCGTGGGCTCTTGACTAGGTAGGTGGTTTGCATAAGCTGGGGTGTGGGGCTGTTATCTTCTTGAGCGATGACAATGGCGCCACTTGGTACTGTTGTGGGGGTGTGGAGAAATCCGAGGCGGGCAGGAAGACCTAYGAARGGAGGACGTTYARGACCTTCTTCCTCAYRTCCGTCYTCGAMAGCGYTGGGACGGACTGGGTCAAGGAAGACAAGAAGGTCTCCCTTGACCTGCGTCTCTTCCAAGGATACGGCGTCAAGGCTTTCTCCATGAAAGCGTTTGACATGCGTGGGGACGAAACTGAATTCTGAATGCTTTCTCCGGAAGAATTTCTCAGCAAAACAAACGCCAACCGCGTCACTGGCTGCCTTCCTGTTGTCGACAGTTCTTTTCGGATGAGCAAACCTTTGGTCCAATTCAACAGTCCGATGGACCTGCTGCCAGGTGTGGTTAAGCAGTACAGGGAAGACTTCTCGAAGCTGCCGCCTGATCAGCAAATGGACTGTGTTTTTTTGCCCTTCGAGGTTAGTTCCAAGAGCAGGCGATAAACGCCGTCCGCGACGACAGGGAAGACAAAGCAGTTGCTGGGTGGGCCGTCGGGCGCGAATCTTCCCTCGCCCTCCGTGAGGGGAGGTCGTGATTTGGCTCAAGGTTCAAGCGTAGCAACGGAGTTTGATGACAGGCTTCTGCACCAACGCAATGTTGGCCGTGAGAATTCCCAGGGCAGTGCAATTGCCCTGGACGAGGACAACGACGAGGACGAGAAAGGAGGAAGTGTCGGGCCGCATGACGACGGCGGTAATGAAGCAGATGTGGAAGTTGGGGATGACAACATGGAGGACCGGGGCGGGCTTGCTGACGAGGACGCCGACACGCCAATGCATGGTCATGACATCTCCCCCGCCGGCGCTGTGGAGCCGCTATTGGTCAGCCCTCGACGTCCCGTGGAATTTCGCTATCGCAAAGCAGGAGTTAGGGTGGGCACGACTCACATGCAATGCAAGGACCGAAGGCGAGGAAAAGGACAAGGGAGACTTCTCCGTCTGCTTCTACTCACAAGAGGCAAGCCAGGAC